GTATATTTCCGTCCCATGGTAGCCCTTAACCCGGCAACACTGCTTTCCCTACCAGAGGGTCCAGAAACTCATTACTGTCTCCAGGTACTCGCAGAGGTATATGGCACCCGGCCTGACCTGACCGACCGGCCCCTCCCTGATGCCGACTTCACCTGTTATACCGACAGGAGCAGCTTTCTGGACAATGGAGAACGGAGAGCAGGGGCCGTGGTTACTACCGAGACTGAGGTAATTTGGGCCAAGGCCCTGCCGCCTGGCACGTTGGCGAAGCGGGCTGAACTCATCGCCCTGACTCAAGCTCTCCAGTTGGCAAAAGGTAAGAAGCTCAGCGTTTATACAGACAGCCGCTATGCTTTTGCCACCGCTCATATCCATGGGGAAATATACCGACGGAGGGGCCTACTCACCTCTGAAGGAAAAGAAATCAAAAACAAACCGGAGATATTAGCTCTCTTAGAGGCCCTATTCTTACCTATAAAACTGAGCATCATTCACTGTCCGGGTCATCAAAAGGGAAACAGCCCTGAGGCCCAAGGCAACCGCCTGGCGGATGAAGCTGCCCAAAAGGTAGCTCAGCAGGAAGGCTCTACTATTTCTCAGGTCCTGACCATAAAGAAAGCAATTATAGACCCCTCTACACAAGAGCGAGGGCCTGTTCTTCAATATAGCCAGGAAGACCAAAACCTACTAAAAGAAATGGGGGCCACCTACCAACCTAAAACTCAGAGGTGGATATTGAAGGGAAAACCAGTGTGGCCCCAACGTATGACCTATTACTTGATTGATCATCTCCATAAACTGACCCACCTGAGTTACAGAAAAATGAAAACCCTCCTTGAAAGAGAAGAAAGCACCCACCATTTGCTGGGGAAAGACAAGATTCTACAGCAAGTGGCTGAGAAGTGCACCGTGTGTGCACGAGTAAATGCCGGACACAGCAAGGTGGGTCCCGGGACCAGAGTCCGAGGACACCGACCTGGAACCCATTGGGAAGTTGATTTCACAGAAGTCAAGCCTGGACTATATGGATACCGGTATTTGCTGGTGTTCGTGGACACTTTCTCTGGATGGGTAGAGGCCTACCCTACCAAACATGAGACTGCCAAAGTCGTCACCAAAAAGCTTTTGGAAGAAATTTTCCCCAGGTATGGTATGCCACAGGCACTGGGCTCCGACAATGGCCCTGTTTTCGTCTCCCAGGTAAGTCAGTCGGTGGCCACATTGCTGGGGATTGATTGGAAATTACACTGTGCATACCGCCCCCAGAGCTCAGGACAGGTAGAGCGCATGAATAGAACTATTAAGGAGACTTTAACCAAATTGACGCTTGCAACTGGCACTAGAGACTGGGTGACCCTCCTTCCCCTAGCGTTGTATTGGGCCCGAAATACACCGGGCCCTTATGGACTCACTCCTTTTGAAATCCTTTATGGTGCCCCGCCACCAGCTGCCCATTTCTTTGACTCTGACATAGCCTCTATTGCTGATACACCTTCTCTCCAAGCTCATTTGCAGGCTCTGCAAATCGTACAACGGGAGGTCTGGAGACCGCTGGCGGCTGCGTACCGAGAACAGCTAAATCAACCTGCGGTACCACATCGATTCCAGATCGGGGACGTGGTCTGGGTACGACGACATCAGGTCAAGAACTTGGAACCGCGCTGGAAGGGACCCTACACCGTACTGCTGACGACACCCACAGCCCTAAAGGTAGACGGCATCGCCGCCTGGGTCCACGCCTCCCACGTCCAGACCACCAACCCCGAACACCAGCCTGACAACCCAGATTTGAAAACCAGATGGAAACTTCACCGCACTCAAAATCCATTAAAGATAAGATTGACTCGTGGGGAACCCTAATAAGCTTGTGTCTCACTCTAAGTCTAGGAGTAGCCCATGCTTCCCCACATCAGGTTTATAATTATACCTGGGTCATTGAAAACCAGGCTGGGGATATTGTTAACTCAAGCTCTTCTATTGGGGTCCAGCCCCACTGGCCAGATTTAGAAGTGGATCTCTGTGCCCTTGCCCTTGGAGCAGACACCGATTGGGCAGTTCCTGATATTTTCTGGCCTCCACCTGAGGGCCGAACACCTGAACGAATTACCCCAGGACGGGCCACCGATCCAAGTTGTATCAATTCAGTTGGGAGGGCCCTTTTACGGGGTCCCTCCGGCAGTGGGGTATGGGGTATTTATGTCTGTCCTGGCACACATCGGAATAGAACTCTCAATCATAAATGTGGGTGGGCAGATCAGTATTTTTGTGCCTCATGGGGCTGTGAAACCTCGGGAGACACTTATTGGAAGCCTTCCTCTTCCTGGGACTATATTACAGTAAAAAGAAAAAGCTGGGAACATGTCCCACTTAATGCGCCCCTCCAAAGAACGAAGTCGGGGGTATGTAATCCCCAGGGCACAACCAAAGGATGGTGCAATCCCCTGTTGATTCAATTTACTCCCCAGGCTAAACAACAGATTTGGACTTCACAAGGTTTTAGATGGGGCCTTAGGGTTTATAAAGCTCAAAAGGATATAGGCTTCACTTTTAGAATTAGGCTTAAAAAGGCCTTACCTACTACTAAATCTGTGGGCCCCAACCCGGTCTTATCAGATCAGAGGAGGCCCTCTCAGCCAAGACCTCCACCCCTGTGGCCAACAGCCCCGAATACTTCCGTTTCTTCCCCTAGCCCAACCGCCACGGGCCCCACTATGCAGCCTCAGAGGCCTGGGTCAGGAGATAGACTTCTTGATCTAATGACAGGAGCCTATCAGGTGTTAAATCACTCCGATCCCGACCGGACCCAAGAATGTTGGTTATGCCTGGTTTCAACTCCACCCTATTACGAAGGATTGGCTATAATGGGTAATTTTTCTAACCATACCAGCCCTCCAGTGAACTGCTATCCCTCTGCTCAGCATAAATTGACCCTTTCCGAGGTGTCTGGGCAGGGACTCTGTGTCGGAATGATACCTGCTGCATATCAGCAACTTTGTAATTCCACTGCCAGTATTGACACAGGAAATTACTACCTGGTTGGCCCCAATAGTACCTTTTGGGCATGCATACTGGCCTAACCCCCTGCATATCGGCTCAAGGCTGGAATGCTGGTTCTGACTTTTGTGTTCTCATTGAATTATGGCCTAAAATAGTATATCATGAACCAGACTATGTCTACAGACACTTTGAGGGAAAAATTCGGTGCCATAGGGAACCCATGTCTCTGAATTTGGCAATAATGCTAGGAGGACTAACGGTCGGAGGCATTGCCACCAGAATTGGGATTGGGGCTACCGCCTTAACAGCAACCAATCAATTCCAACAACTACAACAGGCTATGCATGCCGACTTGCAGGCATTGGAAGAATCAGTAAGCGCTCTAGAAAAATCCTTAACCTCTTTGTCAAAAGTGGTCTTGCAGAACCGAAGGGGGCTAGATATCCTCTTCCTACAAGAAGGGGGATTATGTGCAGCCTTAAAAGAAGAATGCTGCTTTTATGCCAACCACACTGGCCTAGTTAGAGATAATATGGCCAAGCTTAGGGAAAGACTTAGCCAGAGAGAAAAACTCTTCAGGGAGGGACAAAACTGGTACGAGAGTTGGTTCAATAAAACCCCCTGGTTCACCACCCTCGTTTCCTCCCTCATGGGCCCCTTAATCGTAATCCTCTTGATCTTGTTATTCGGGCCTTGTATTCTGAATCGGCTGATCCAGTTCATGAAAGACCGGCTCTCTGTCATACAAGCGTTGGTGTTGACCCAGCAGTATCATCAGCTCAAACAGCAGAGGACAGAAATTGACTCTCCCTAGGCCCTAGAATGAAAGATTCCATTCTAAGTTAAAAGAAAAATGGGGGAATGAAAGACCCCCCGCCTCACCCTAAGTTAAACATAGCTAACGCCATTTTGTGGTACACCACTGTTTTGAGAAACTCTGTAGACTAGGTGGGGAACTGGAAAATTACTGAGAAACCCAGCTGTGTCACCCCCTCGGGGTATCTGCGGTCAGGCTGCCCCAGGTGAGCTAAAAACAACTTGTGTTGATCACCCTCATGGGATATCTGTGGGACTGTTCCAGCTGAGATAGGAGTCCTAAGGAAAACAACATGTGGCGGCCCAAGTTAAAGGGTCATCATGACCGTTTCGACCACCCAGTTCCTGGAATCCTGGTGTCCCTGCCAAACTCTGACTCAAATTGTGGTCTCATTTAAATGTACCAATCAGCTCCCTGTAACCATGCTTCTCGCTTCTGTACCCGCGCTTCTGCTCTAAAACCCTATAAAAAGCCCAGCATTCCACCCAGAGGGCGCGCAAGTCCTCCGAGAGACTTTGTCGCCCCAGGTACCCGTGTACTGAATAAAGCCTCTTGCTGTTTGCAGCCGAACAACTGGTCTCGCTGATCCTTGGGAGGGGGGGTCTCCCTGACAGAAGATACCCCTCGGGGGTCTTTCATTGGGGGCTCGTCTGGGATTTGAGACCCCTACCCAGGGACCACCGACCCAAATTTGGGAGGTAAGATTGCCGGCAGAACTTGTTTGTCTGTGTGTCAGTTGGTTTCTGTCTTAAGTGTTGTGTATGCATGTGAATGTTCGTCTTGGTCTTTCGTGGCAATCTTCATTCTGAGGCTTGGCCAAATCACTCCGTATCAGGCGGAAACCAGAAGGAGCTGACGGGCTCGGACTTCTTTTCCGCAGCTCCTGGGATACGTCTCAGGAGCATTTGTAGGGAGCCAATTTCTCGATTCCCGTCTGGTGGGGAGCCGATTTTTCGGCTCCTGTCTGTTTGGAAGCACGAGCCGACCCGGACTTTTCGGGGCTTCGCCCCTGTTCGAGGGCTACGTGCTTCATCTGGGAGATGGAGGAACCGGACCTCCAACACAGTCTCCATCTGAATTTTTGCTTTCAGTTTTGCGTCGATCTCGTGCCGCGCGGCTTGTGTTGTGTTCTGTCTGTCTAATTTTTGTAGTAAGTGTAATAGGTGTGTTCTATCTATCTGAAAATATGGGACAAACTGTCACTACTCCCAAAAGTTTAACTTTACAACACTTCAAGGAAGTCCGTGACATCGCCCACAACCTCTCGGTGGAAGTGCGAAAAGGAAAATGGGACACCTTCTGTTCATCTGAGTGGCCAACCTTTGACGTGGGCTGGCCACGAGATGGCACCTTTAATCTAGGAGTTATTTTACAGGTGAAAGCTAAAGTCATGGACCCTGGACCCCATGGACATCCTGACCAGATTCCCTATATCATCACATGGGAATCTCTGGTCAAAGATCCCCCACCATGGGTAAAGCCTTTCCTTCCCCCTTGCCCGAAACCCACCCCATCTGCCCCCTCCCTTCCTCCTCCGCTGGTTCCAACCCCGACTAACTCTACTCTTTACCCGGTCCTCACGAAACCGGCTCCAGAGGAGACCTCTGGGCATAAGAAGACACCCCCAGTACTGCCGGCAGACGATGGCCCTCTTCTGGACCTTTTGAATGAACAGCCCCCTTCTTACAGAAACCCAGACCCCGTTGGGGAACCAGAGGGAGCGGCCACCAGACGGGAACCCCAGGGAGAACCCACCTCATCCCCGGTGGCAAGATGATTGAGGGGGCATCGGGAAGTCCCTCCCGATCCCTCCTCTCAGGCCTTTCCGTTGCGGACGAGCCCTGACCGCCAACTCCAATACTGGCCCTTTTCCGCATCTGACTTATATAATTGGAAAAATAATAACCCTACCTTCTCAAAGGACCCTTCTAGGCTCACAGCACTAATTGAGTCTATTCTAGTGACCCATCAGCCCACCTGGGACGATTGCCAACAGCTGCTCCAGACACTGTTGACCACCGAAGAAAAACAGCGGGTCATCATGGAAGCACGCAAAAATGTCCCAGGAGATGATGGACAACCCACCCAGCTACCACACAAGATTGACGCTGCCTTCCCCTTGGAGCGGCCCACTTGGGAGTTTACCACTGAGCGCGGTAGGGAACACCTACGTCTCTATCACCAGTTGCTCATAGCGGGTCTCCGTGGGGCTGCAAGGCACCCAACTAATTTGGCTCAGGTTAAGTTAGTGACCCAGAAACCTGAGGAATCCCCCTCCGCTTTCCTAGAACGACTCAAGGGGGCATATCGTATGTACACTCCCTACAATCCAGAAGACCCAGGTCAAGCAACCAATATAGCCATGTCTTTCATCTGGCAGTCTGCCCCAGATATTAGGAAGAAGTTAGAAAGGCTTGAAAACTTGAGAGAGAGTACAGTACAGGATTTACTGAAGGAGGCAGAGCTGATTTTTAATAAGAGAGAAACACAGGAAGAAAGAGATGAAAGGCTAAGGAAAGAAGCAGAGGAAAGAGAGAACGTTAGAGAACGTAAGAGAAATAGGGAATTTAGCAAATTACTGGCCACAGTAGTGACAGGACAGAGACAGAGTAGGCAGGGTCTGGGAGACCGCTGGGGTCCACGAGTAGACAAAGATCAATGCGCCTACTGCAAGGACGAAGGGCATTGGGTCCGAGACTGCCCAAAGAGACCAAAAGGGCCACGAAAGCCTAAGCCCCCGGCCACCCTGTTAAACCTGGAGGATTAGGGGAGTCAGGGTCAGGAGCCCCCCCCCCC